AAGCTTAGCCTGCTGAGCGAGGTGCTAGAAAGCAGTAGCTAGAAAAAAATTTATATGTGAAACACACTCACTGGCCTTGAACTCACTGTGCACCCCAGGCTGGCACGTGTTGGTTGTCCTCCTGCCTCAGCCTCCCAAGTGTTGTGATTACAGGTGTGTACCACCAGGCCAGGAAAGACACATGTAAGAATGAAAAATGATCACAAAATCGTGACCTTAGCACCTTAGTATCTTAAGATACTATAATAGAAAAGGACAAATATGATCCGAAGTAAGTAGAAGGAAGAGAGTAAGAAAAACTAGAGCAGGGACCCATGACATAGAAACTGAAAAGATTAGGGTAAATTAAAGGAAATAAAATCTGATTCTTTGAGGTAAATATAATATACAAAAACTCCATTTAGAATGATAAAACTACATTACAAATTATAGTTTTCATCACTGCAGAGCATGCAAATAAAAGTCTTGACTTTTTTTTTAGGGAAATTGGGTAATTACCTAAAAAGGTGTATATTCTTTCAGAAAATAAATTTCCTGCAAACAAATGTGCAGGAGCCGAATACTGGTGATTTCTTTTTTTTTTTTTTTAGAAGATTCTTTTTTTATATAATTTTTATTTATTTTTATTTGTGTGTGTGTGTGTGTGTGTGTGTGTGTGTGTGTGGCCAGCTCAGCCCACCAGGGGGCGGGGCTGGCTGGCATGTGGTGCTGGGGGATGAACCGCGGTCCCTGTGCTTTGCTAAACTTGTTCTAAGTAGGTGCTTTAGACCACTGAGCCATCTCACCAGCCCCCTGGTGATTTCTAATACACACTAACAAACAGGTAGTTCCAACTCCTTACACACTTCCTTAGAAAATGGAAGCGGAGGGAATGCTCTCAGACGGACTTTTAAAGATAGCTTTCGTGTTTTTCAAAGTCAAATTCAATTATTAGGAAAATACAGACCAACTTTTCCAAGAGCATAGATGTAAAAATTCTTGACTTTTAGAAATCAAGTCAGATAATATACAGAAGGATAATACAGTGTGGCCAAGAAATTGCAGGTTTGATTTGACATTAGAAAATCGATCATTGTAAAACAAATCATACGGTATCTCAGTGGATGAAGTGGGAAAAGCGTCTGACAACTTCTGCTTCTGTTTCTGATAAAACCCTCCAGCAGTGTAAGAATAAAAGATTACTTCTTTAAACTGATAAAGAAAAATCTCTGTTAAACTTGACCTTACATTCTGCTTAGATAGTATCAAATTTAGGAAGAGACAAGGATGTCTGTGACCACTTCTGTCCAACATTGTACTGCAGGTGTAGTGAGCGCAGTCCCATAGAATGTACAAAGATATAAAAGGCATCCAGATTGTAAAGTAATTAAAGCTGTCTTTATTTGTAGATAATGTTATTTGTGCAGAGAATCGGATGTATCTCCAAAACACTGCTAGGACTAATATTAGGTTAACAGTATGGCAGAATACATGATCCATATATAAGTCATCTGTATGTCTCTGTACTTGTTTCTGTGTAATCAGAAAGTGAAATTTTAAAATACCATTTATGGTACTCTGTTTACAATTGAAATTTTCATGGATAAATCTAAACCCCAAAATATGAATGCCCCATAATGAGAAATTTACAAAAGAGTAATGAGAAAACTTTAAAAAACAAAACTTAAAATCTTGGAGGGGTATTTGTATTTATGGACCAGAAGATTCAGCATTGTTAGCTTGTTACTTATCCCCAAAGGTCTAGATTCAACACCTTCAAAGACACTCCTGACATAAAGACTTATTTTAACAGGAGCCGAGGCAGTGTAGTACTGGCATTATAGGAGGATTATAGGCATGTAGTGGAGTAGAATGCGGAGTCCAGGCATAGAGCCATAAGTATTGGTGAGATGAATATGGGCAGAATAGCACAATTTCCAGTAACACAGTTTTCAGAAGTGCAGAAGTAGCTCATTGGAGGAAAGATAGTCTTTTTCATGATAGTTTTGAATAAGTGAAAAACCATATAGCAAGAAGTGAACTTAAGTTTACTCCTTCTACTATATTTAAGCATTAATTCAGAATGAGTAATAGTAGGCAATGTAAAATTTAAAACTAAAACCTAGAAAACATGACAGATGACCTTTATACCCCTAGGACAGACAAAGACCTCCAGATGATACTCCAAAACTTATGATTCACTTTAAAAAAATATGACGAATTCTATTTTATAAAAATTATGAACTGTAGGGGCCAGGGAGATGGCTCAGTAGAATAAGCGCTTCCTTGGCAAGCACAAGAGCCTGAGTTCAATCCTCGGTTCTGCAAAAAAAGAAAAAAAATTATGAACTGTTCTTTGAAAACTATTTGAAGAGATTGAAAAGGCATGCCCCAAACTAGGAAGATACTTAAATCATATAATTTGAGTAAAGTCTGATACCCAAAATAATGTGATTGAGCTTTTCAAACTTAATATTGTTAATCCTACTTGTCACTTGATATGCTAGTGACAGTCATACTTTAAAACTTTTTCAATGAATTTTTTGTTTCAGTAAAAGGCTAGGAGGTAATTACTTTAGATACTACACTTGGTCTTAGCCAGAAGGCTAGATGCGATAGTAAATACGTTAGGCTTTTTATTTTATTTTATTTTATTTTATTTTATTTTATTTTATTTTATTTTATTATTTTTGTCTTTTTGAGACAGGGTCTCCCTATGCAGTTCAGGATGGCCTTGAGCTCACTTTGTAGCCTAGGCTGGTCTTGAACTTGCAACGATCCTCCTGCCTCAGCCTCCCAAGTGCTAGGATTATAGGTGTGCACCATCATGCCTAATATTTATAAAGTAACCCTTTAGGTAGGAAATTTTGGGTTGATGTCTGAACAGATTTTAGGGACTGGCTTAATACCTGCTTGGTTGGGAAGGAGTGTGTTAAGAGGTGGACACTGACTAAATGAGCAGCAGACAGGAAACGTGTTTAATATGGTTAAAAAGAAGAAACATGCATTTCCCTTAGCATTGGTGGTTTTTCTTGCAGTCCATGTGACCGTCCTCGTGTCATCGAGTCTCTGAGAGGAATTGAAGTGGTTGACGTTGCTGCAGGGGGAGCCCACAGTGCCTGTGTCACAGCAGCTGGAGACCTGTACACATGGGGCAAAGGCCGGTATGGCCGCCTGGGACACAGCGACAGTGAGGACCAGTTAAAGCCGAAGCTGGTGAGAAGCCAGCACAGTGGAGGGCTCAGGCCGAGGTCTAAGTGGCTGCTCGCCCCTTGTGTTGGGAGTGCCATTGTGCCACATCAGGAGCGTGCCCGCTCTTCATTTAGAGCTTTTCTTGTGGGCTCATTGTTTATAAATAGCTTTTCTTTTTGATGGAAATAACCATCTTGGCACGTATTCCTTCCATGCGTAATTTACGCACGGTGGTATCTGACATATCTTGTGTTTATACAGTTTGAGCCCTGAACAATATGAATTGAATTGTGTGGGTCCACTTAAATTGCAGAAATCTTTTTTGGGGGTGGTAAAAATGGTTCTTCGTAAAACTAACCTAGACATAATAGAAAAGCGGAGGAAAAGACATGTTATCAATGCGTGAAAAATACACGTACACAATAGTCTGTGTTCTCATTTGCACCATAAAATATACACTTCTATTGTGAAAAGTTAAAATTTAAGGGTGCAGATGTAACTGAGTGTTAGAACACTTGCTTAGCATGTACATGTGTGAGGCCCTGGATTTGAACACCACTATTACAACGGAAAGTTAAAATTTATCATAAAAACTTACACATACACTTACAGACTGTCCATTTGAGGTTGAGCGAAATGTAGACAAGCACAAGGATGTAACATTCAATTATAATTGCTTGATATTGGCTACAGTACATACTATACTACAGCAAATCTGTAGCTACTTGCTGTTGCTATTGCAGTGAGCTCAAGTACTGTGAGGGTGTTTAAAACATACTGTCACCTGCAGGTTAGTAGTTCATCTGTCCCTCTGATTGTGTCTCGTAGTAAAAGATGATCTCTCATGGCTTGCATGTCTTTTTACTGTTTATAAAATGTAACATCATCAGCCATTTAAGCTGCAGTAAGGCTGGTGTGTGCAGTAACCACACTGATCGCCAGGGTTGGTTAGGCTGATCCCGCTGGCTGGATGGGGTTCCCTTTCTCCCTCACTGCTCCATGTGTGTCCCTCCCAAAGCTGCGCACCTGGTCAGAGAACACGCCCACCCCAGTGGAGGAGGACTGTTCCCTTGGTGAGGGTGTATGAGTAGCTGTGTCCCCTGCCATCGCCTCTAAATAAGCTCTCAAGTTACAGTGAGGCTTCTGATCATAGGCAGGGTATTGCTAGTTAAGTTTTTTTGGAATCAAAAATTATAATGATTTTTTGAAAACTCCTATGTTCAAGAGTTAACTCGGGGTTGGGGAATTAACCCGGGGTCCTTTGCATTGAAATAACATTCCCAGTCCTTTTCATATTTTTAATTTTGAGATGGAGTCTTACTAAATTTCTAAGTTGCCCATGCTAGGCTTGAACTTGGAATCTCATTACCTGAGTCTCCTGAGCGCTGGATTACAAGCATGTACCACCATCACTCCTTTCTAACAGAGGACTTTATGTAATAAATATTGCTTTGTACGATGGGAACACTGCTGTCTTTTTGATGATAAACAAAGTTAATGGACAGCTTTCAAAGTGATACATACAGGGTTGGCTCGTACGGTTTAGGTTTATGCAGTTCAAATCAAGACGGTGTTTTCTGTCTTGTCTGTTAATTAAGATTATTAAAATTACCTGGTTCTTTATATATAGAGGCTTATATCACGAAGAAAGAGCGGCAGCATTGCAAAGCCTCTGACTTATACCCCTCATTAGTTGTGGCTGGCTAACCCTGGTCCCTTTTTCTGAAGGTGGAGGTGTTGCAGGGCCACCGTGTGGTCGATATTGCCTGTGGGAGTGGTGACGCCCAGACCCTCTGCCTCACTGATGACGACACCGTGTGGTCCTGGGGGGATGGGGACTATGGCAAGCTTGGCAGAGGAGGCAGCGATGGCTGCAAAGTGCCCATGAAGGTATTTCCTGTTTACAGAGTCCTGGCTCCCCCACTGCTGCTTCCCTCTGTGTGCTTCTTAGGAACATTTTAACCTCATCTTTACCTGCTTTGCAGGAAATACTGTGGATAATCAGGTAAAAAGTAAATGAATGACCTAAATGCATGAAGATGTTTAAAGTACTGTGTATATCCTCTGGGTTATGGCCGTAGTCCAGCAGGGCACGGCAGAGCATCTGATTTTATTAAGCTTGTAGACCTGCCTGTTTGAGGAATAGGAAGGCACATTGTGCCCTGTCTCTTCAGCTTACTGTGCTACATAGATGCTGTGTCATATCTAGAGCCTGCTGAAAGGGTTGTATCTGGCTAGGTATCTTAGCCACTTTTCATCACTGGGGCAGAATATCTGACATCCCCAATCTATAGGAGAAGAGGTTTATTTTGGCCATTTTGTAAGTTGTAGTCATGGTTGGTAGGTTCAAATGCAGAAATGGCATAGCAGAAGGGTTTGCCTCAGAAGAAAGCTGGTCATATCATGGTGGCCAGGGGCAGAGGAGAATGGAGAGGCTGGGGAGCGAGACACACTCTCCCAGCTCCAGTCCCCAGTGCCCTGCCTCCAACCGGGGCTCTACCCCTCATGGCACTTGGATCCACCAGTGGACTACCTGATGAGTACAGCTTCCTCGTGATGTAGGCTGCTTCCTCATGCCATACCTCTGAACTTGGGCTCATAGGGAACATCCAAACTAGACCCAGAGGCATCCCATGAGAAGCCAGGAGCAGAGACTCTGTGGCACCCTGAGTCTGTAGGCTGGATTACGGGTCCATTGCACTGTTTCACATGGGCCAAGTGGCTAGGCAGTTTCTTAACTTCACCAGACTGATTTTGCCTTTGTAATTGGGTGGGTGAGATTAAGGGCATCCCTGTGTGTAGGTCACTTACCCATAGCTTTGTGGCCTGCAGCATACAAGCACTGCAAGTGTATTTAGATGCTCTGTATAGGCTGGGGAAGCAGCTCTGGTAAAACAAAGAATTCTAGAGCCCAGATCGCAGATACAGAGCAGAGAGCCTTGTGGCGCGTCAGTACCGCTCATGGGGAAAGAACTGAGCCCAGCTTCTAGTTTTTCTTCCTGTAGTTGTGCTGCCCAGTGCAGTAGATGTTGGCCACACTTAACTTTTCAAATTTAAATCAAGTGAGTTTGAATAAAATTCATACCTCTAGTCCCATTGGTATGTTTAGTGACTTCCCTTTCCTTTCGTCTAGTGCAAGTATATAATAGTTCAGCCACATTGTACGTTACGAAAGGTTTTCACGTTTATCCAGAAGTACTCTGTGTGCACTCTTTGCTAAGGAGGACTTGATACAGTGGCTTTGTGCTTTGAAAGGCTGAGATACTGAACATTGGGCAGGCTAGAGGAGAACATAGCAGCATAGTGCTGGGCCTGGAGGTGGGAGAGACTAAGAGAGTGAGTTTTTAATTAATTTAAATTTGAAATGCAATGCAAGAACACAAGTATTAGGACACTTCCAGAGAAAGTAAGAGCAGATTTACTAGGTAAGGAGGAGTGCCACCTAGGAACATAGGGTGCTGGGTATGCAGGTTGGGTGCAAGGTGTGTAGTCGTAGAGGTGCAGCACAGGCCTGCACTACATAGGGCGCTGCAGCCTGGGGGACTTGGGGCAGTGGACAAGACCCTCCTGTGTTGCGTGTTGCCCCTTCCTGTGGAGCTTAGGGTCTGAGAGAGGACCAGAGAGTGTGCCTCCACTTCACTCTTGGTGGAGGACTGGAGCTGCACTTGGGAAACGCCTCTTCCTTGTGATGTGCCGCCAGTCGCTGCCCGTTTACTTCCTGAGGGTGTTTTGGTAATAGAACAATTTTGAGTTTTACTAAATATTCTTATTATACAAGATATAGTTAAATCCTGGTGTGGGTGCAGTCATCAGCAGGGATCTTGATGGAGTCCATCTCACCAGATGTTTCTCTTTCTAGATTGATTCTCTCACTGGCCTTGGAGTAGTTAAAGTGGAATGCGGGTCCCAGTTTTCTGTTGCTCTTACCAAATCTGGAGCTGTTTATACTTGGTAAGATTCTGTTTATTTAATCCTACCAAAAGCATATTTTTAATTGCAGCTGTATTAACCACCTTTCCCTAGACTGGAGTATTACTTTTCTGCAGCAAGCTCTTTTGCATCCAGGTGTTTAGGGCTTGCACCCGAATGGTGGCAGAGTGGAGAAAAGGTATCTTTCCCTTCTGAGTGTCATGCTTTTTTTGTGTGCAGGGGCAAAGGTGACTATCACAGGCTGGGCCATGGATCTGATGACCACGTTCGAAGACCTCGACAGGTCCAAGGACTTCAGGGGAAGAAAGTCATTGCCATTGCCACTGGCTCCTTGCATTGCGTGTGCTGTACAGAGGATGGTACGTGAGAGGCGCAGCGTTTCACAACTGAGGACTGCATCAGAGAGGGCAGTTAGGGAGCAGTACTCGGGGCTTGTGTTGTGTGCGGAGGGTCCATCTGGAAGGCAGAGCTTAGACCCCTTGTCTTCAGTGCTGGGTGTTATACCTGTGAGTAGACTGGTAGGTGGTTTAAGGAAAGGAAAAACAGAGCTGGTTGCAGTGTGGTCTTCAGAAAGACCTGCTGCAGAATGGGCCTCAGCTGGGATCTGGCCCTTAGACTGGGTCAGGAGCCTGGCTCCATGTTTTTGCTGTGTGTGGTGTGGCTGCTGAGACCTGCTTTCCTCTGGGGCTAGCTTAGCTGTTATAAATTGGGTTGCAGTGCACATGGGTGTGGTGGTCTCCCTGTAGTAGGCCGACTGATTCTTCCAGGAATATATCAAGAAATGATATCGGTGGATCAAATGGAAGCTCAATTTTGAGCTTCTTGAGGAACTCCATACTGACTTCCTTAATGGCTGTGCTAATTTACATTTCTAGAACGATACAGTGATGGTTGCTTTTCCCAAGGCATTCTCACAAGCATTTTTTGTTTTGTATTCTTGATGGTAGCCATCCTGACTGGAGTGAAATGAAATCTCAGTTTTGATTTGCATTTCCTTGGTAGTAAAGAATGTTTTTTCATGTACTTACTGTGTGTTCAACTATTTGTAGTCTCTTGAGAAGTGTCTGTTCATTGGCCCATGATTAAGTGGGTTAATTGCTTTTTTGTTAAGTTTTTTAAGTTCTTAGTATGTTCTGGATATTGATCTTCTTTTGGTCAAAAGAGTCGATGGCTAAGGTTTTATTCCATTCTGTAGGTTTTCACTGTGTTATCATTTCCTTTGCTGTGTAAAAGCTTTGTATTTGATGTAGTCCCTTTTGTCAGCTTTGTTATTTCTTGTGCTGTTAGAATCTGATTGACAGGGCCAGGGAGATTGGCTCAGTGGACTAAGTGCTTACCTGGCAAGCTTACGGGCCTGAGTTCAATCCCCAGTTCCGCCCAAAAAAAAAAAAAAAATCTGATTGAGAAAGCCTTTGCCTGGGCTTTTGATTTCAGGTGGGGAGGTTAAAGCTAGGCAGTAAATTCAAGGTCAGCCTGATGTTTTCAAGCCATTTCAGTGTCAGGTTTTATGCATAGGTCTTTTTTTTTTTTTTTTTTGGGGGTTTTTTTTTTTTTTCAAAGTTTTATTGGTAAACATATAGCAATGAGACAGTTTCAAATCAAATCGAAAGTACGGTTTCAACAAATAATACACTGCATATATTCTTCTTAGTGGTTAATTGCTGTACAAGATGCAGACTTGTGATCCTACTTACAAACACCATTAGAACAAATCATTCTATTCATTAAGAGAATGCAACTATATATCTGTCCCAACCACTTTGAATACACAGATACAAAATGGACATTCATAGTTATATCCCAATTTTTTTAAGTTCCTTTGTTGAATATTATAGGTGTGTAAACTCAGCAAAATATTCTAAAAGAGTCCAGTAGCCCACAATAGCATTGGGTCTTCTGTTTAACTGGCAATGTCAGAAATCATTGACCTGAGTCCCCCACAGCTCAACACAACAGCATTGGCTTTATTTCCTATATTTCGTCTTCATACTTTTCTACTGGATGGTTAAGACCAAGGTAAAGCAGGACCTGTGCAACAAGAGTTGTAGCTTTTGGGTCTGAGAAGGTCAGTGAAATGCCCTCAGGATTTATCCTGAGATCCTGTACCTCAGATTGTAGAACCTTTGTCAGCGGCAGCCATGTGGATGAGTCACGGCCAATGCTTGGCCAATGTGCTCTCTGTGAAAGCCTGAGGGAGTGTCTTCTCCCCATGTGACTCTCCCTAGGCACACTCTACGTCATCGATCACTTTCCTCTTTGGCCCCAGAATCTTCTTGATCAGAAAATTTGGGACACTACCGTTAGGTCTTTAATGCATTTTGAAGTTATTTTTGTGTAGGATGAGAAATGGGGTCTGGTTTTAGTTTTTACATTTGGGTATCCAGTTTCCCAGCATTACTTGTTAAAGAGGCTGTCTTTTCTCTACCATATGTTTGTTGTTGTTGTTGTTGGGGGATGGGAATTGAACTCAGGACCTTGCACTTACCAGAAAGACATTTATCCTGATAAGCTATCTCCCCGGCCCCTCCACTGTATGTTTTTACTTCCTTTGCCAAGTGTCAGGTGTTTGTAGTTGTGTGAGTGGTTTCTGTGTCCTCCATTCTATTCCACTGGTCTGCATCTGTTTGTTTACTGTGGTTGGGCAGTGTTTTGAAGTCAGCTGGCACTACCTTTAATGCTCAAAATTTCTTTACTCAGTCCCGCATCTTCTATGTTTCTGTATGAATCTTAGGAATTATTTTTCTAGTTCTCTGAAGTCACTTGGTATTTTGCTGTGGATTGCATTGAATCTATAGCTCACTTTCAGTAATGTGGTCATTCCGACAATATTTATTCTGCTGATCCCATTTGATACTGGATTTAATCAATTTTACCTGAGCAGTGGGGCTTGTAATCCCATTGGTTGACCATAGTTTTGTCCCACCTCATGCCCAACAAAGCAAGTTCCCATGTCTTCTCCACCACCTTAGACCCGCCTCACCATATGATTGTCCTCTATAAAAGTCCCTGCAAGAGACAACTGGGGGGGGACACCTACCCTCCCCCAGACAGGAGCTTTCTTTCTCTCAATAAATATATTCTGCTCATAACCTCCGTTTGTTCCTAAAATTCATTCTTCGGTTTTAGAGAACACGAACTTGTGCAGTTCAGGTCCAGAGATCATTTTTCTCTATGTCATTTGGAGGTTCCCTATATTGTTTGGAGGTTACCCACCTGAGACCAGTTTTTCTCCCTGTATCCCATTGAATTTGTTTATCACATCTAAATGGCTTCTGCTGTTTGTGGTTTTTTGGGTTTTTTTGTGTGTATACTGAGATAGTGTCTTCCTATAGAGATCAGGCTGGCCTTGAATTTACTGTGCAGCTCTGAGTGACCTCAAACTCATAGCAATCCTGCTTCAGTCTTGCAAGTGTGAGGATTACAGGCGTGGGTCACAGCAGTTGGCGGCGGGGTTTTTAGGTTCTTCTAAGTAAAGGTTCATGCTTCTTACAGAGAGCTTGACTTTGTCCCTTTCCTGTTTTTATATGCTTGCTTGCTTTCTCTTGCCGCATTGCTCTGGCTAATCACATACCACAGTGCGCAGAAGTGGAGACGTACACACCCACGACTCATTCTTGATTTTAGAGGACATACTTTCAGCTCTATCTCATTCAGCATAATGTTTCATACAGGCTTTATGTTGTCAAGGTAAGATCCCTTATGGACCTTGAGCTTTTACCATAAAAGGATGTTCAATTGTATCAAAGAATTGTTCTGCATATATTGAGATTATCATTTGATTTTTATACTTGCTTATCTCAAAATGTGTTTAGGCCCTTGGAGTTCTTGCTAAGAAACCTGCTGTTACACAGCTGTGTCTGCCTTTGTAAGGGATTTGACATTTTTGTCTAGCAGCTTTTGATACTGTTTTTGTTCCAGTCTTTTCTGGGGCTGTAAGTGCCTTCTTAGCTGGGTATGCATACCTTGTTCAGGATTTAGCAAAGTTTCTGTCATTTCACTGAGTGGATTTTCTATGCATTTAGTTTGTATCTCTTCCTTCATCTATTCCAACAAGTTGAAAATTTTGTTGTTTACTTATGCCCTAGAGGTTTGGCAATTTTTGTTTATAAGTTTTCAATTTATTTTTATTTTTTTGGTATTACTGTCCAAATGTGGTAATGTCTACCTTATTGTTAAATTGTTACATTCTTTGTCTTCCTTATGCTGTAAACTATTAGTGGAGCTGTCTACTGACTATTTAAATTTAGTTTATTGAGCTTTTCATTTAAAGATGTCTGTTTTATTTTTATTTTGAGAGTCTATCTCTGCTAAAATGCTCATTTATCTTTTGAGTTGTCAAAAAAAGTCCTTTTCAACTTTGGGGGCTTGCAAGTTAGCTCAGTTGATTAAACACCTGCTTGAGCAAACCCACTCAGGTGTAGGGAACTGTGGTTGGATCCCCAGCCTCACATGCCTTACCAGACCTGCCCTGAAGGCAGCCTGAGGTAGGCAAAAAGGGGG